AAAAAAAAAAAAAAAAAAAAAAAAAAAAAAAAAAAAAAAAAAAAAAAAAAAAAAAAAAAAAAAAAAAAAAAAAACAGTCATTTTATTAACTAAATTCTTAAATGTACAAATTATTTCTTATGACCAACCTTCTAGCAGTTACAATTATTATAGAATGGTGCCCTGCCCCCAAGATGCACCACACTTCCGAGCCGTACCTTGAACATGTGCCCATGAACACTTTGTGTTTGGGTGCAGGCATGGTGACGCTGGGTCTATCATGTCTCTACCAATGCTGGCATTTGCGATAGCTTTTTTGGGTATTTTTAGTCACATGCAAAGTGTGACAATAAATTGGTTTGGTTTATACGGGGTAAGTTTATTTGTCTTATTTTTACTCTTAAAATTCGTTTCAAACTATAATCTTCCCAAGTAAATAAATAAATTGGCAGTTTTATTTAGTTATTTTTGAGCTAATACTTGAAAATAGTTACCTGAGTTTAAGGTTTAAATTGAAACAAGTTTAGCGGGTCGAGATTAGATTTAAACATTTAACCTTGTGATTGTGTATGTTGATTTTAACGGATCGGGCGTATGCATATTTATTTGTTTAACCCCAAAAAAACAAAATAGAAGACAAGGCCACCAATTAATAGTTCACATGGGATCACATCTTGTCTGGAAAAAGAAGGCCCACTTTATTATGGTAGGATTGAAGCAAAAGTTGTAGCCAGTTATACAATAATTGTAAGACAACGTGAAGAAGGCAACAAAGAAAGTTTGTTGCTTTGTCTCACTCAATCGTAGTCCCTTTGTTGCAGCTCATCTAATCCAAATTCGCATCAAAATCGAAGTCTTGAGATACCACGTAAAGTTTAATTTAAATTTATAGCTATTAGTTGAAATTTATGATTTGAATTAATTAATCTTGTTAGGTTAGTAAAGGTTTTATGTGTGATCTCATATCACATCATCCGTTGGAGAAGAACTCGAACATAAAAGTGTAAAAACCTCTTTAAATAGATGATTTTTAAAATTTTGAAAGAAAACCCAAAAAGTAAAACTTAAAGAAGATAATATTCGTTATTATTTTGGACCGTTACATTGTTATTTATTTCTTCAATTTTTCCGATACAAGAAAATGAAAACACTCACACCTTCTCTACAAAAACAAAATTATATTAAAATTTAAGTGCTTACTTCAACAAAATTAAAAATAAAAATAAAAGAAGGAAAATTTAGAAATCCTTTTGGACCAAAATCCAAAAGATTTTCGTTACAAAAAGTAAGGGAAAAAGAAAAAAGCAAAAGATTCAGTGCTCCAAAAAAAAAGAAGAGTTTACATGATCCAACGGTCAGATTTCGTGGATCAAAACCTCCTTTTCAACCCCCCGACTATTCTTCTTCTTTCGTATTTACACAGAAACCTCTTTTTTTTTCTTTTTTTATAATTATTAATAAATTAAAAAACTTAGAAGGACGGAACGACGCCGTATCCACTCACTCGGTCTACCTCGAGTTCGATGTCCGTCCTTTTGGCGAACCGTCCTTTGATTCGGGGTCGCGTCTCGGCGTACGCCTTACGAGATGCGTATCGTATCGTCTTCTCGAACTTTCTGTTCTTCCTCTTCTCTCTGTACCTCAACACTCTCGCCTCCCGATCCGCCGGCGAAATTTGCAGCGGTTGAACAGACGATTCCGTCGACGGTTTTGTGTACGGATTTGATACATCCGTCATCGCGTTACCGTCTGGCACGACTCCAACCTCGACTGACGAAGATGATACCTGATGGTGAAGAACATGTGAGATCGATGTTTCAGATTAATTCGTATTTAGATTTTGGATGGGAAACTAAGCGGAAGAGAATGTTGAAAGAAACAATGACTTACACTGTGACTGATTGACTGAGGATTGAAACCGTACGGGAACGATTTGGCGCCGGGGAAGTCTATGTTGAAGCAGCGATCGTTAACTGATGAGAGATGGACGCCTTTGGTCTGATCAGGAACAACTCCATCGGCACCGGAGCTATTCTGCTCTTGCGCTTCCAATTTCGGATCCACATGGCCGTAATCCAGATCTAGGTAAGGATTCATTTCTGGAAACACAAACTTCCCCGAGTTTAAATCTGGACTTTCGATTGCCTTAGGGTTAGGGTTCGGAAGAAGCCAGGAAGCAGCCTCGGCCTCTTCTCTACTGACATCAGCGGCATCGGCATCGACATCGGAGAAGTAGCGGTCGTCGAGGAAGTTGATTGCAGCGCCAGGCTTGACGGCGAGGGAGTTCTCGGAGATGGAGGTGTCGTAGAACGGCGTGACCGGAACTCGCTCGTGACGACGTGCGAGGGGATTAGCAGAATGAATATCGTGGTCACAAGCGAGGCAGAGAGCAGCGGCATCGGCCTTGCAGGTAACATGAGCAGGAGCTTGCTCACAGACTTCACAAAGCCAAACGCGAGCATGGCGAGAGGCGAGTTTGTTGGCTGCGTGAACTTCGGAATCACAACCAAGGCAAAGGAAGGCAGAGTCAGCTCGGCAGAAGAGAGTGGCGGTGGCGGACTTACACGAATCACAAAGCTTCGAAGCCATACTTCAATGGCGGAAAACTGAGAACGGTATGTAAAGTCTCTCCCTGTTCTCTCTCTCCCCTTTGGTTCTATACTTTTCTTTTGGGGAGTCATGCGTGTTCGAGTCTATCCGGTGGGGCCGACGAAATCCAGTCACGGACGAATAAATCATTACCACGTGGCCCAGGCTTAGCCACAGAAACAAAAAGTATTTATCGCGTTCAGTGTAGGGGGAAATTAATAAATTTTTAGGGGTTTAAAATCAAAGGATTTTTTTCATCGTTTTTCAATGAGGCCAACCAAAAGTTAAGAGTGAGGTCCACATCACGATGTGTACACGTGTTTTGGCTACTTTTCTCCATTAATTTTTTTTATTTCAAACCTATTTTCTAAGTTTCTTAAATTAATAAAAATATTTTTTAACTTTCTTATTTTTATATGGTAATTAATGAAATGGGGCATAAAAACAATTTATCATTACATTATTTATTTATTTATTTATTTATTTATCCATGAACAAGAATTGAGAAACCGAGAAAAAACATATAAAATTCTCTTACATAATAATGGCGTCAAAGGAGTCTAAAAATTAAAATAATATATAACCGACACGTGTAATAATTTATCCATTGAAATAGAGGTTTTATTTTTAGTCCAATTATTGCAAAATTCAAAGACAAATGTCGAAATTTTGAGTAATATTTAATGTAGACTATTATAACTTAATCGAAGAAGAATGGTGGGACCGACTTTTTCTAGAGCCTTCTGCCGGCCCAAGAAAACGGCCCAAGCTTTGCCTTTGTTCGTGGGCCTTGGCCCATTGAAAACATGTTGGGCTACACTCCTAATGTCCGTTGTTGAGACTCGTTTCAAATAGGGAAATATTTAGATAATTTTGTGCTGATTTTTTAAATAAATAAAATTAAGAAGATATATATTTATTTTATAATAAGCCTTTTAGGTTAATTTTTTTAATAATATTTTATTTTATTCTCTCCTTTTTTCCCAAAGCATCTTTAATATTTGTTGATTAAATATTCCAGCCAAAAGTATTGCTTTACAAATTTTCTCCAAACTACTTTAAAGTGTTCTCTTACTTTTTCTTTTTATTTTTTCAAAATACTTTTGTATTAATAAATGTACAAATTTTATTTTTAGGAGCAAAATATAATTATACATACACACACACGTATGTATATGTATATATATATATTACGACTAAACAAATAAAATTTTAAAATTTTGAATTCTCTCGTTTACCAATTAGGTTTGTTGTACCAAGATATTTGTATTGAGCCTAATGGTCTCGATTATGCTTAGTAACTTTCTACATTTCTCTGGGTCGGGTTATCTCTTCTCTACATGACGTATGGAATCCCATATTATCTATTAACCAATGTAAAAAACACGCGTATTACATGTACTATTAATTAGTCTTAAAAAATAAAAAATAAAAACTCAATATTCTCACCTTTCTAATATATTAATTAACACGAATATAATTCACGTGATTAAATATACAAAATTAGTCATAACCTCGATTATTTGTCATTATTTATAATATCATTGTCTAAAACTATAGGTTAAAAGGCATTTTATGTCCAAACAACTTATATGCTCGTTCTCTCACACTTTATATTATTCGTTAATTATCTCATGTGTTAATATGATATTATATTATATACTAAAAATTCATTGAATCGTCACTTTTGGGGTTATATACGGCGATACGGCGCCGTATCGCCCCACAAACAATCTACCAACACTTTTGGCCTCCATCATCCACTAAAAATTGGACACGTGTCATATTATATTATTTTTGTTTTATAATCGAGTTTGCTCCAATTTGAATGCCAGTTGACTCGCCGTCCCGGTGACCGGTAAAAAAACATGCCGTCCTCGCCATTTGTTTCTGTTGGGAGGTAGGGACACAAGCTGTTTGATGAAGAATATATTTCCCGGTCATTTTCTTTGCTTTATTCTCTTTTTATTACCTTAAATAAAATAAAAGGAAAATAAAATTTAAAAATATCTAAATAGAACTATATATTGGAAAAGGAAATTATTCCGTAGATATTAAATGTTATATATCAAATTCATTTTATTCTAATAAACTTAATATATAATTAAATTAATGTATGGGAATCTGATGTTTTAGGAGTTAATAAATCTTTTTATTATATTATTATTATTTGCATAACAAAAAAATTGTTTTTTTTTAATAATTAGTAAGGTGTTAATTTCTAATTATGATAAATGATAAAGTAATAAAAATGTAGAAATGTCATTTTAAACACGTGTAAATATTCACTTCAATAATTATAAGTAAAAAAAAAAAAAAAAAATTTGACGTGTAATTTTTAACTATAGTGTAATTTTAATCACAAGTTAAATTTGAAAAGTATAGCGGTTTTTACCTTAGTAAGTTTTTTAATTTTTAATATAATCTAATTAGAAGAAAAAATTAGTTGTTTCCCGATAATCATTTTATATAATTATTTACTAAATTTTTTAATGGAATGGCCTAAAAAAGAAATTTTAAATTCTGCCCAATTTTTTTTAAAAAAATATTTTTTCCATTAAAATAGGCTAAAGAATTCACCAAAAAATAATAAATAAATAAATAAATAAATAAAACTCCTGTTTATTTAGCTTTTTTCTCTTTTATAATAAGTTAAATAATATAAATAAATAAATAAAAGTTGGAACCCGTCGTGATGTGATATCAAAATGGACTGAATAACTTTAATTCAAAACAGTTTGCCAAAAAAAAAAAACATTAATAAAAAAAAAGAACCATTAAAAAAAGGTGATGTGATTTAATTTAAAATTAGTGTGTTGTAACCAAACTATTTATTTCTTTCCCTTTAATTTATTAATATAAAAAAAAAAAAAAAAAAAAAACCCAGAAATTAAAATTCATCAAAACTTAATCACAATTAATATCAAAATCTCTTTCTCTCTCTAGATTCGAAATTTACATCGAAATAAGCAAAACTCCACACCCAAAATTGGAAATTTTTGCATTAAAATAATAATAATAATAATATTTAATTTGGAGTTCTTCACTCAGCTTCTTCATCTTCTTCCCGGCAACCCATTTCCTTAACTTTCTCAGAATTTCCATTTTGAAGACTATGAAGCTTACCGGAAGAAGCATTAGAGTGGCCGGAAAATGAAGAAAGTTTGGGGGTTACCGGCGTCGCCAAGAAACTCGGATTCCGGTCTCCGGCCATAATCACCAATATCTTCTCTTCATAAACCTTCGCTTCTTCCTCCTTAATTTTCTCCTCCTCCTTCTCTGCATTATTATTGTCTCTATTTCCGCTCTCTAAATCTCTTTCCTCCGATTGCACCGCCAGTTTCCAGTACGAGCACGCCAGAATCAGCAGCGCAAACGCTATTAGACCCAGCATCGCCGCCAGCCCTCCGAACAGGTACGGCACCGGCGAGTGCCATGGTACCCGCTGCGAGACCGCCGTCGGCTGCAGCGAAATCACCGGCGAGGAGGGTGAAATGGCTCTCATACCCTCGGATATTTAATTTTTTTTTTTTTTTCTGAAGGTTGTGAGGCGGGGAAAGTGGAGGGATGGTATTTATAGGCGGTGAAAGGATGGGCGGGCAGCAGCGGGAGACCGGTGCCGCTTTTTTTAGTTAAAATAGTACAGAATAACTGTGAACTTTTAAATATAATTCAATTTTTTTTTTTTAATTATTATGTTTTTTAAATTATCAAATTATTTTAAATAAATTAATGGGGACTTTTTCATCCGAATATTTCAAGTCATATGCAAAATAATTTATAAAAATAATAATGAAATTAGTTTAAATTATATTCATCAAAGTTTTTAATTTCAAAATTCAATAATTGAATATCGTGAAAACATTAAAAAAAAAAATCCAATAAATCAAATTGAGACATGCTTTTAACATTTTTAACTAATTAATGTCATGTAAAATAATAATAATTATTATTATGATAGTTTATATTTATTTTATAGTAATTATGTAATTTAAATATTTTCTTTAAAATTGATTTTTTTTTTTCTAAAATAAAAAGAAACTGAAAATACAAGAAGCAGACTCGATTCGGACCCTTTTAATCCGGAAGCCACGTCGTCAGTGGCCCACAAGATGGGACCCACTTCGCAAACCAAAAAATACTCTTTTTTTGTATTTTCTTTTTCTTATTTATTTTCGTAATGTTTTATTTTTAAGACATTAAAGTCAATCGAATCCTAATTATTTATTTATCACAATCTAAAATAATGGCATCGATGTACGACGTCGTTTTGCTGACTTCAAAAAACGACCGAAAATAAATATAAATATTATTTATTTATTACCATTTAAAATAATGGCATCCATGATAACGACGTCGTTTTGCTCCCTTAAACAAAAAAACAACAGAAAATAAATATATATAATTTTGAGACATTATGATAAGAATGACGGGAGACGTAATATGATGCTCGAATCAGATACAAACTTGTCAACTGTAATTAAAATATTTTTATTAAAAGAAATATATTTTTTATAAATAAATACAACCTTGTATCACTCCCCTACCCTTCAAATCTAATGACATTTTATTCTCTCCATTTTTTTTTATTTTACATTAAATTACATTAATTGTCGTATCCTATCATATGATATTAATGTCAATTAGCTCTAAAATAAGTATAATTTAAAATTTAATATATGGTTAAAGGTAGATAATTTAAAGGGCTGTGGAATTATTCTCTACTGCCACTAACAGTATTAACTTTAGAAGACATTCGAAATTTAGTGGAAAAATTAAAAGAATGTGAATATTCTAACTTGTCAGGGGTATTTTCGTCTATTAATTAATTATTGTAGCATGAAATATTATGAAACAATGTAATTCTTTTTTTTTTTTTTTTTTTATAATAAGATTCCATTTGGATCTCTTTTTAATGGCATTATTGCGCAAGGTAATTATTAATGTAATTTCACGCAATAAAGCGATCCGTAATTTTATTTTATTTTATTATATTTTAAATTGGAATATATTGGACTTCCTTTATGTCCCCTTGCGTTACTTTGTATAAAATAAAATA